TATGACAATGATGTGGATGATGCTGTGTGATTTCATGAGAAGAGAGAAAAACTTTTTTATATATAGAGATGATACATATATTATTCTGATGTGAAATTATTTGTTCTTGACTTCTTATTGATTGATATGGAGTTCACAAGTAAAAGATTAGTTTAAATATGATGGAAGAAGTAGTTGTGTTGTATTGTGAGTTGATGTAGGTGTAGTTAAAATTCGGTTTTAGAAAAGCAGACTTACCAATTAGAATCCATAAACAAGTGTGCGAGATTATCAGTTGAAATTTTAATATTTATATCAATAAAATTTTAGGAGAATTTGTTTAATGATTCAAAAAAATTTACAATTTGAAAATTAACCCATGTTTTTAAAATTTTGAAAACTAAATTTTTATTAAATACTAAAACTATAATATCGTTATAACATTGAGATTACAATAGGCTATATGACTGATAAAAACGATTAAGAAACAGCCAGAAGTTATGTTTTTTTTTATCTTAGAACTATGGTGTTACCCTTTACGGGAGAAAAAATTTAGCTTCCTTATAAAGATCTTTTGTTATTTATCCTTGCCATGATTTGGATATTGGTTCACTAATATTGTGATTGAATAAAGTTAATTAAGAATTAGTTCATATTAGTGTCATGTATCATTGTCTTTTTTACTTTCAATATATAGCTATGTGATTCAAATAATTTGTGTTGATGCAATGAAAACTTTTGTATGATGGCTGCTAAACGTTCATTATTTTATACAAGTGTTTGTTTGTTGAATCTTATAAGTTCAAAATCTCCAACTGTTTTCAACTATTTAAGTTTTATATTTTTTGTTGCATTGCCAATAGTACGTTAGATTATTTTGAGAGTTATACAAGTTAGAATTATTTATCAGGTTGTTGCTGAAATTAACCAATGTTGTAAAGTAAGTACACGCTAGACAAGATAAATAATCTTTTTTCTTACATTTTTATAAAACTTATCTTTACTAAATATATTTACGCGTTGGAGTATGAACTTTTTCTGATCCCTAACATTCTTAGTTATATATGCAGTATATGCATATCTCGCATATATGGAGAATCTTTCTTTGTTGAATGTATCACAAGTCACAGTTTATGCATTCGAACTAAAGATGTTTCGTCAGAAGATTCAAAAAAGAATAATTGATTAGTGAATGATTTTGTTTTACAAGTTGATCGTGATTTTTACTTGAAAATATAGGGTT